AGGGGAAAGTTCAACCCTCTAATGTTCCAAGCTGCCCAAATCATTGAGATGATGATGATGTGAGACTCCTTAACCCCCTAAACCCCTTAAGGGTAACTGCATTAGCTGCCATGTTTACCTTATGTTTCCTAATCCTGCTTTTCTTATCAACTTTGGAGTGTTTGGTGTGCATTGGTTTCCTAGGCTTAGCTACTTTGTTCATAACTAGAGAATAGGTGGGATTATGTGAGCTTGAGTTGGAAATGGAGAAATCCTCCTCCTCTCCTCACCTGTTTCCTCAAAATCTACTGACACATCATTATCTAATGTTACTGAGGTGCACTCATTTTCCAAGACATGTACACTATCAAGAGCACCAAAAGTGTTGGAGATATGTATAGGAGAAGGAACACACAAAAAATCAGACAATGTAGCCCTTAATTAAAGATTTTGAAATGGGCTCAAATTAAGTTGTGATTGGGGGTGGTGATAACTTCTTGTGTGGAGAAAGGTCCACCACAAGAGATATGGCCTTCTTTTTATCTGTATGAGTAGTCCCCGAATCCACCATGGGCTGGCAAGTGGATGAGGATGAATGAGGATTGTGATCCACTCATTGTAGCCTAATCCCTGGTTCTTTGTAACAAATAATTTCTTTTGATGCAGAAGCCTGAGCAAGATTATCAACTGAAACACTAGCTGCAAAAGGATTTGGGATAAGAAAGCAAATAGCTGCCTTAGAAACTATTTTTCTTCCTTTTAACCAACTGTCAGGGCGGAGATGTAATGTTATCAACAGAGTCATGATTATCCCTTGGATCATTCGAACCTATTCTTCCACAATTACCATCAATGTGACCAAATTATGAGCCAAAAGAACATACAAGCAGTAGCCAAGTGTATTGAACTTTGACTAGAACCAATTCTCCTGCCCCCCTTCCTGACATGGAAGCTACAAGGTAGAGGAAAAGAATGGGTGATTTCCACACACACCATTGCATAATCAATTCTGTTCCTACTCTGGGTGTTAGCATCGGCAAATAGGGGCTTCCCAATAGCACTTGCCACATAACTAAGCCCTTTTGGTGACCAAAGTTCCAGAGGAACATTCCACAACTTGATCAAAACTGAGATTGCATTTGATGTCTGTGTGTGATTAGACTGAGAAGAGGATGAGTCCGGCTGCCATACCCTCAGTAAGATGGGTTTGCCTCCAAAAAACCATTGTTTCCCAGCAAGTACATTTATACAACTTTCCTCAGTGTTAAATGTAAAGAAGAAAAGACCATCCTTGTTAATCACCACCTTATGCAGTCCTCTGTTACCTCAAAGCTTGTGTGCCATTGGTGAAACTTGCTTGAAAGACATCCTTCTCTGGAACGACCCCACAAGGCATCTCCTCCAGTAAGCTGTACTATCATCTCCGACATCATCAAGTGGATCCACAAGTAGGAGGCCATCCCTCTCAATAGGCTCAAAGAACTGAAAGTTCTATTTGTGATTAAGAGCTTGAGCTACAGAAGAATAGCTTTTGGAGTCATTATCCTTATTCTTCTCACTCATAAGTGGCCCATCCTATGGGTTGGGGTTTAGTGTGGGCTCATGTAGTTGGTCATTAACTTGTGTGGGACAATCTTGTTGAACTAGTTGAGGGATATGACAGATTTGGTTAGGATGTAAGGAGAAGGATTGACTAGTGGTAGGACGACCCATGAGCGTCTGGGATAGGATGTCCAAAAAGATCAGCAGTTGAATTGATATGGGAATCCCCCAAATCCAGGGATCTCACTGACTTGCAACAATTTGAAATTAAAAGGGGGAAAATATTTAGTTCTTTACCCACACTACCTTTGCTTTGGACTAGCAGTGCGTGAACAACACTCAAAGAACAACCATTAATGTTGGGTGGCGAGGATGGTGCAACATACATGTCATAAGTGAGGTAGACTGGAGATGGAGTACTAGAAACCATCTCCAATCTAGAAACAATGTCCCTAAGAACTAGAAGATAAGTCAGATGTGAGTAAAGTCGAAGGAGTGAACCTGGATTTGAGTGACAAAAGTGCCTCCTCCAAGCATTTAATCACTTTCCGAAGCCTATCTACTTCCTCAATGAGCTCAAAATTTGAGGAATCCATAATGGAAGCATCAATAATGTAAGGTACACAACATCATTGATGACCTTGTTTGAGGGGTTAAGCACCTTATCTTGTTGTAATGCATTCAGGACCTTTGTCTTGGTAAATCCAGTGATGGATGGAGGCCTTGGCTTGAGTCTAGGTGATGGAATGATCTGTTGCGGTGCATATTGTGTTGTTTGCATCTGAACTGCCATTGAGTTTGGTCTTCTGTGTTGCGCCGACTGAGCATCGTGTTCCTTGACCGGTCCTGAAGTATTGTTCTTATTAGGATGAATCGGTGGCTTACGGGATGAGAACTTGTGTGATAATGGGTGGTTCTTGTCCGGGAGGGATGAGATAGAGATAGGAGGCAAGGAAGGTTTGGTTTGTCGCCGGAACGGTGGCTTAAGGTGGTTAGGGCTTGGGTTCTCGGCAGAGGGTCTCATGGAGGTGTGTGATGGTTTTGCGCTTGCAATTTTGTTTTACCCTAATGGATGCATAGAAAAGTATGCTGATTCTCCACACGTGTTCAGAAAAAGGTGACATCTAAGACGACTAATTCATCAATTATGTGTTTTTTCTTAATTTAATTTGCTTACAATTTTGTTTTATTCTAATGTTATTCAATTATAAATTTATAGTCAATGACAAAGAAGGCATCATTGTGTTAATGGATTATTCTTTCTTGCATTACCCCTTTACTTGCATATTATCATCTAATACACTGTGCCCCTCAAATAAAATCTGACTCGGTCGCTGACTAGTAGATATAAGGATGTTGGCCTATTTTCAAGATAAAAAGAATGCAACTACTACATTCGAAACATTTTTTTATGGCTCCAACATAAAAGATAGATACGGTAAACATGAATAGCAAGAACTAGGCGAAATATATATATATATATATAGCATATAACTTAAAAAGTGTGTTTTTTTTCCCCTTGGTATACAATTTATGCATGCATATTTCTGAAGTACCATGAGATTGCTTAGAATAACCAAAACAAGGACTTGCTTTAACTTTGTGAAGCACATGACTAGTGAAGTAAATTAAATTCTTTGTCAACCCGGGGAAATCATAGGCAGAGACAGAGACAGAGACAGAGAGTCTCACTAAGACCAATGAAATAATGTCATGTTGTCTAAGTTTGGAAAGGAGTAGCAAGTCCTTGTTAACAAAGTCTTGCTTCTTTGGACGGGGATGCATCCTGATAAAGAGAGTGAGAATAGTACCTAACAACCTTCAACAAGTTATCTGAAGACTCCACTACAAAATGGTCGGGAGGCCAATCACGTCTCAACTGGCATTGGCAAATGAGATTATGAGAGCATAGACCGGTGGAAATATTGTAGCATTTGGTCCCCAAACTCCTCCAATTAGCCATCTCTATTTTCTCTCGAACTCGTCTCCTACATGGCAATTTAAATTATTTGTCACTGCTTAGTCCTAACCCTAAATATACATGGCTATTTGATTCATTCATCACTGTCTAGTTCCAACCCTAAATACTCCAATAAATACTAAACATTTTAATGGCGACCAAACAAACATACACTAATACACCAATGACAATTATGAACAAATAAATAACCTTTCCAAGCACAAATCAATAAGCATCAAAATCTGCCAGCAAATACTAAACACTTTAATGGCGACCAAACATACACTAATACAAACAAACCTGCCAATGACAATTATGAACAAATAAATAACCGCACAAATCAATAAGCATCAAAATCTACCATATTAGGCAAAATCAAGAGTCATAATCATCGCAAGTTCGCAACGCAAAAGTAACTAACTTACATAGATGAAAGGAGGAAGAGAAAGCCTTATCTTGACAGCAGCATTTTAATTGCTTGAGGTCCAACACCAGCATTTTCATACAGGGTTATATTTTCAAACACCAGCATTTTCATACACTATCCAACACCAGCCATTGAGAATCATAAGCAAAAACTTCTTTTCAAGCACAAATCAGTTTGCACCAAAATCTACTAGGCAATTGCATATATAATCAAATGTCATAAACATTACAACATTGTTCCTATATATTAAAAGCCAATAAATGAAAAAAAAACAAACATGAGCACATATATCTATTTGTTAAATGATAAATAAATGTGTTCACACAATTAGACATTCAGCAAGATAAATCTTGTAAGATGTGATTATATGATGAAATTCTCACAATTCCATATTTAAATATACAAGCAAATACACAATAATCTGAGCTTTGGGATTTGAATAAAGTTATCAAATAGCAGCTAGTTACTACACTCCATTTAGGATTCAAACCATTAATATTAACTTTTCAAGCCCAAATCCGATACCACCAAAATCTACCCTTTTAGGAATAATATTATTCAAAGCAATAATATTGACTTTTCACATTGTAATCATGTTCCTACAACATTGTTCCTATTTATTAAAAGACAATAATTTTTTTTTTTTTTTTTAAAAAAACATGAGCACATATATCTATATGTTAAATGATAAATAAATGTGTTCACATAATTAGACATTCAGCAAGATCAATCTGGTAATATGTGATTATATGATGAAATTCTCACAATTCCATATTTAAATATACAAGCAAATACACAATAATGTGAGCTTTGGGATTTGAATAAAGTTATCAAATAGCAGCTAGTTACTACACTCCATTTAGGATTCAAACAAATAATATTAACTTTTCAAGCACAAATCCGATACCACCAAATTCTACCCTTTTAGGCAATTGCAAATATAATCAACAGTCATAAACATTACAACCTCTGGTAGCAACCACAAATAAGTAAAGCACCAAAATCTACCCTATTAGGCAATTGCATATACAATGAAGAGTCATAAACATTATAATCATGTTCCTACCAACCATACCTAATTAGTAAGCCAAACTACATTGTGTTGGGGGCAACCCAAACTGGAGGTGGGTTAATGATCTTCAACCTTCTTGGATAATAAGGTTTTATGCAGTTTTTTGCTAGGTGAAAGACACCATTGTCATGGCCATCATATATTTGGTTAAATCCTTCGAGGAAATGATCAGTGAAGTAGATAGAATTCTTCATCAGCTCGGGATAATGGCAAGTTGAGAGAGAAAAGGAATGATTAGAACCCACAAACAGTGCTCGGTCACCTAAGCAATCCACAGGTTCCCACTTACTCTGATCGAAATCAAACTTATGAACATCAAATCCCAGAGTCCAATAAGCATCATCATCTTGAAGGAAAAGATTTTCTCGTTCATCATCATTAATGTTATTCACCACATCGTCTTCAGACCTACGAGGATGCACAAATTCAGTTTCAGCAACACTTAGGGCTATAAATCTGCGAAGCACCAAAAGATCCCCCGAGGATTCAACTAAGTAATTTGTGAATGTAAAATTATAAGATCCCTTAAATTTGTGGTAAAGCTTCCCAGGACAAAAGTCGGGACTATCAAAAACTTGATATTTGGGAGAAGAAGGGTCTCTGAGATCCCAAGCTTCAATGCTATAATCTGATCTCATTGCATAAAATCGGTGATTCTTGCTGGAATATATGAGATCAGAATAACATCCGAGCGAACCCTCCAAGTCGGTCCAGCTATCATCGCCCGGTTTGCAGAAGGCAAGACTGTCGGAGCCGCTGTGGATGGCCATTATAGTGCAATCATTTCCGGGAGAAGATGAATCTGATGAATAAAAGGGGAGAGATGGGGGTGATGACATAACAAGCCTTCGTACATAAAAGTAATCAATGTCTTTGGGGTAAACGGCGAGCTCATCTGCGTCCTCCTCCTCGATATTCGTGATCTTGTAAAGTGAGATTAGGAACTGGGTGTTGAGAGAAGGGGAAGGGGAGAAGTGATCGGATTTGAAAAGGCGTGCGGCGAGAAAGGAAGGGAGGGTTTCGATGGAAGGGAGGGGAATGTAGGGGAAATGAGGAGAATCCATCAATGGGTTGTAGAGATAAGGATGACAATTCTGAAGGTGGTTAAAGGCCAACCAGCCATGGGAAGACCCCACGCATGGTGCGGCTTTAGGCATAAGGAGTTCCCTCTACCATGGTATACTACTAAGATTCTTCCGAACCCTAAATTGACTCTGTTCTGAAACACTGAAGAAATTAAAATAGTTATCATCATCCTCGTGGTTTGAGTGATTTAGGGATGTTTTGTTATCATCGAAGACAACCACCACCCCCGGAGGTAGCATAAGCAATGGAGGAGGAGGAGGACGACTTACAGGCGAAGAAGAAAAGGTTGCAGCCTTTTTGAAGCATCCGCATCCAAGAAACAAACCATCATCGCCACCGGTACTGAAGTTGTGAAATCTCGCCGGATTGGAACAATTGAACCATGTTCTTAGCAGAGACCGGTGGCAATACAGCATCCGATTGCCAAAACTCCTCAAATTAGCCATTCCCCCCCTCTCCTCTGTCTCTGCTATGAACCCTAACCAACCTAAAACCCTAACTAACAACCTAAACCCTAAAACCCTACTTTATACTAAGAACCCGTGACCAAGAACCCTAACTAACTTAAAAACCCTACTTTATACTACCACATTACTCGTTTTCAGCTTGACATATAAGCACGTACCTGTATACAAAGAATTTCTCTAACACAATTTTAAAATTAAAATTTTACCGTTGTTGTAATAATTTTATATGATTAGCTTGTGTAACTTCTTATTTCTTGCTTTGGTTCACTTTCTCTAAATTGTCTAGTTATTTGAAATGATACGTTGATCTCGACATTGCTGCTATTGGTAGGTTTTATTTGTTAAAAAATAATGAATTGTTACGTATAACAAATGTGAAATTTAATCATGATATTAAGTCGGGTCATATTGAACATGATTAAATATATATATATATATATATATATATAACAAAAATTAAAAATCCAACTACCATTGGTGTTGTAAGACGCGGTTAGTTAGGCTCTGTTTGTTTAGACTTAAAATATTTTTTAAAAAATTATTTTTTATTTTTTTGATATTTGGTTGTCGTAAAATATTTTGGAAGAAAAAAAATATTAAAATTTAACAAAAATAATTTATCTATAAATTTTTGATAAATTATTTTACATGTCTCGTTCACTGGACTCGACCTAACGTAGGCCTTTGCCAAACACTGACAAAATAAAAATAATACGGAGCCTTAACGGGAGTTGTACTTATCAATTCTTATCATATAGTATATATTTGTTTTAGAAGATTGGAAATTTGGAACAATAGACTCAAAATGGGGTCGACAATTTGAGGATAAATCAAGCACGAAAGAATTTTCGGATTGCATGTACTACAAATTTACACCAAATACTCCAAAAATTCTGATTACATGTGTATATATATTAGATTATGAACAAAATAGATTATTGGAACAAAAAGGGAAAAAATGATGTTTAATGTCAAGATTAATTAGCGAAAAAATGTAATAACAAATTAATTCCAATTGTTCTTTTAAAAATTAAGTCAATTCCAAGTGTTAGAATATTGGGGGACCTCAAATCATTTACCTTTCATTATATTGAAGAAGAGAAAATATCACTAAATAACATATTTGGGTGGTGAAAACATAATCAATCTTTAATTTTTCTCTTTTAGCACCTTTTGCATTGACAGCTTTCCAAATTTATTAAATATATATATATATATATATATATATATATATATATATATATATATATATTTTAACATTACTAGGGATGGTAACGGGTTGGTTTGGAGGGGGTTTGTCTAAACTCATGCCCGCCTCATTTATTTATTGACAATTCCAGACCCGCCCCGTACTCGCAACAGATTGAAACATTTTGAGAAGAATGTTGATAAATTGCCATCCCTAAATTTAATTCTCGGAGCAAAAAATAAAATTCCGTAAAATACTTACTTGGAAGCTAATGCTGGCAAGCTTTGTCTACCATATGTGGAGGGAACGCAACAACAGGGTCTTCCGGAATCTGAGTGTAACTCCAGCAAAGACTTTTAGTGTAATTGCCAATTCGGTGAGGTATAAATTGTTCTCCATCAAAAAGTGCTCATACATGCTGAAATAATTGCAAAGAATTGAAACCTTCCTAGCTCGTTCTATGAACCATCCCATTTGAACCTCTTCTTTTCATTTCCACAACCCACACCCTATAATGAGAAAGAGGGAGAACAAAAGAAATATGCTGTTATGGCTGTGTAAAAAAATTGTGTAAAATACACCATAATTTTACACATTGGTGATGTGATATTGTATCTTAACCGATTACTAGAGATAAAAAAAATAAAAATAAAAATAAAATAAATAAATAAATTACACATCATACATAACAATGTATATTTTACACAAAAATATATTTTTACAGAGTGCTAGAGATGCTCTTATAACATCATATATTACTGTAGTACTGACCTAACCCTCAATTTCATGCTATAGCATGTATGTACTATTGATTTATTACTTACCAAACCCTCAATTTTGTGCCCATATATAGCATGTCTGTACTATTCTATTAATTATTTCTTTTTCATTACGTCTAAATTTTAACGAAGAATAAACTTCGTCTCGTAGGTGCATCTAATAAGAAACATCGTTGGTGATATATGTGACTCTGAAAAAAGCAAGCCCAAATCCTCCCAAGTCCATCCCAACAAACCCATATTTTACATTTAACCCAGGTGAAAAAAATTCATGCTGTTCCTAAAGAGACAAAACCAAACAACACCAGAAATACTATAGCAAAATGTAACTAGAAAGATAACATATAAAAACTATTGGAAACGGGGGCATTAAAAACATAAACTTTGGATAAGATTTGGAATAGATTCTGTTAATGCGAAAATTCTCGCGATTCGGAACGACGGCGTTTACCTGCAAAATAAAAGGACGTCATCTCGAATGGTACCGGTGGGGTGCCAGTCGAGGACCCTCTGACGATCAAGTTAATACTTGTAATCGTATCAGATAATAATTATGTATATTCTCTCTAGGGGTTTTTTTCTCGTACCTTCTTTAACAGCTTGGTGCCATATTTATGACTGTTGATTGGAATCAAATTGGTCCCGAGGGAGATCCGCTTGTGCAAGATGAGAGGAGATCGTTTGTTGCCAGATTTGTTGGGGATATGATTTACTCCTTTGACTTTCTCAAATTGTACCAAGATTATCCTCACCCTATTGAATCACGTCGTCATTCATTATCCTGGATAAGAATTGTCATTATTCTTATCCGATGGAAATCTTTATCTCTGATAATGGAATATATCGAAGAGTTCTGGCGGCTGGTCAATGTACGTTATTTTTCCCTATCAGTTGCCCCCCATTCCCAAACTTGCTCGTCTAGCTTTGGGAATGTAATGCCCACTGCCCTAATTTTCATATGAGCAGTAGAATTTTTTTTTTTTTTGCCCCGGCACTGTTCCCTCGAGAACAGTGCCCACGGGTACTGTTAATTGAATAGTAACTTTTTTTTTTTTGGCCTGGGAACTGTTCATAGTGCTCGCGAATACTTTTCATGTGAACAGTAACCCTTTTTTTTTTTTTTTCCTAGGTACTGTTCCCCTGGGTAATCTTCCCTTGGGTAATTTTTTCCCTTGGATTCTCTTCCCTTGAGTAATGGTACCTTGGGTACTGTTCCCTTGGGTATGATTCCCTTAGGTAATGGTTCCTTGGGTACTGTTCCCTTGGGTACTATTTTTGGTACCCTTGGGTAATCTTCCTTTGGGTACTATTTTTTGTACACTTGGCTACTCTGCCCCTGGGTACTATTTTTGGTACCCTTGGGTATTCTGCCCCTGGGTACTATTTTTGGTACCCTTGTGTAATCTGCCCCTGGGTACTATTTTTAGTACCCTTAGATACTCTGCCCCTAGGTACTATTTTTGGAATCCTTGAGTACTCTGCTCCTGAATACTATTTTTGGTACCCTTGGGTACTATTTTTGGTACCCTTGGGTAATCTTCCCTTGGGTATTATTTTTGATACCCTTAGTTACTCTGCCCCTGGGTACTATTTTTGGTACCCTTGGCTACTCTGCCCCTGGGTACTATTTTTAGTACCCCTTGGGTAATCTTTCCTTGGTACTATTTTTAGTACCCTTGGGTACTCTGCCCCTGGGTATTATTTTTGGTACCCTTGAGTACTGTAATACCCCTAATTTTAAAATGATAGTCCTAGTATTTTAATTAAGTATTTTTGGTGCATTTTTAATTATTTAATTGTTTTTGTTGCTTGGTTATTTGCATAATTGTTATTATTTGATTTATTTGAATTTATTTGGATTATTTGATTTAATTGCAATTGACTTAGTTAATTTAATTGGTAAAGTGTTTTTATTTATTATGTGTCCTTAATTGATTTATTTAATGGTTTAATTATGTAAATAAATGAGTATTTAAATACGTTAGCTCTTTAGTTGTCTGAAGTCCCGTAGGTGTATCTGACATAGATTATAACTTAGGGTGTGCTATGGGCCGACTAGGATTTAATTAGGGCTTTGTCTCTAAATACATGAATTAGGATTTTATTGTTCTAAGCCTATAAATATAATATTACGGTGGTTTAGGGTTTTATAAACATAAACATAATTCTATTCACATAAAACAGAGGGTTGAGAGAACGGAGGCACCGTAAGGGTTGTCAAGGAGAAAAACAGAGAAGACCAAGGGAGTGTTGTTGTGGATTAAACCAGAACCATAGGAGGCTTGAAGGTTTTCAGTGGTTGCTGGAAATTTAGAGACGACGCCGAGATTTCATAATTGAAATCACAGGCAAGTTCTTTTTTTCCTCTTTCCCGTTGGCTTGTGTTCTGTGCACTTAGATAGGCTTTAGGGTTTAAGGGATCATAAAACTGAATTGTGCATGTTTAATAAATACTAAATTTATCATCTGTATGTGTTGAACTTAGTCTGGAAGTATTACTGCAAGTTTGTTTTCACCTTTTAAACTTTAAGCATGTTGAAATGGTTATTGCTTTGATTGCTCTTTTAATGCAAATTGTGGTAAATAAAGGACTGGATTGATAACTGGATGTAATTTAAGACCCTTAGGGTCAGTTT